TGACTAAGAAATGGCGCCAGGGGAGTCTGGATCCTCTGGGAGCAGAAGAGGAGCCAAGAGCAGAAGCCACGGGGAAACAGCCGCTCTGGAGGTGGTGGCCTGGGCCGGCTCCAAGCAGCAGGGCCTGCCCGGGCGCCTGGCCTTCTTACCCCAGAACTCCCACTCCGCCATGTCCTCTGAGCGGAACCACTACTCTACTATTACATTATTTACTTTTGCTGCATGTTTAGGCACGAATTTATTGTATTTTGAGGCCACATGTTTATTCAAATGCAACAATCTCTACTCAAAAAAAACCGTTGTTTCACAGAATGTGGGTCTGCAGTCAGCTCGGCAGGAAGCCCCTCGCACAGCTGAGCCATCCCTGACTTTGGGGCACAGCAAAGAGCTGGACTGGATTCCTCTGCCTTTCCTCTACGCCTTCATTGCTCCTAACGACTTCTCTTCCCTACTTGCGACTTAAGTTGAGCTACTTCCTACTTGGAGATTGGAAATTAGAAACCAAAGCACATCTGCTGACAAAAGGGTGTTCCAAGTACTGGAAAGCCCGGGGAAAACCAAAAAAGGGAAGCATCAGATAAACAAAGAAAATGGCTCCTGCCAGGAAGCCAGTACTGAACACAACGTGCATCTGGAGAACGAGCTCGACATCAAGCCCAGCAGGGCAATGAAAAGTATCATCTAAGTAATGCCAATAAAAGGAGAAGAGAGAAAACCATAAACAGACAGGTGTGCCCTGTTGATAAAAAAAAAAAAAAGTTTTCTGGGAACTGTGTTTATGCAAACATTTCAGCACAGGCTCTTTTCACCATACTTGATGCCAAATGCTCTGCTGGGGGAGAGGGCCTGTATCGGACACACGGGCCAAGTAGAGAAGACAGGAGAATCGAGAAGACTTGATTCTTCTCCAAACAAACAGGCAGATCATAATCATGTATGAAAAGCCCCACTTGAGAGAGAGAGAGAGAGAGAGAGAGAAGGGGCGATGAGGACAGGACAGCCAGCCAGCCACAGGCTCACAGCTGGGAAAGAACCAGATTAAACCACAGCATAAAACTTGCTCTTAAATCCCTTGGGAAAACAAAGCTATGTGAGGCCTAGCACGGCCAGTATCCCTTGATTTAGGGATCCTTTTTAAAGCACTGATTCAACCCTGACTGTGCGAAGAAGCTGCGCCTCTCTTGGCCCAGGGCCAGAGTCCTGCCGTCTGGGAGGGAGACAGGCTGAGGGCCAGGGCATCCGACAAGCCAGAAAGAGCCAAGTCCAGGTGGACGCGGCCCTGCGGCTGAGCCTGGACAGGAGGCTGAGGCAGCTGCTCAAGTGTGATAAGGTTCATTTCCTTGGAGCATCAACTTTACTTGAAAATATGAGTGAAAAACATAAAACATGGCCACATGAAGGACTGGATTACAATATTTAAGTCAACTTTGAGAATAAAGCATGAGATTTCACAAGCACTGGCTCTTACGGCAATGCTGCCCCCCAACCAATCTCTCGGGCAGACTCCCCAGTTCTGCCTAGGATTTAAAGGCAGGGGCTGTTCGGGTGCTGATGCGGACCTTCTCCACCCCCCGCCCCCTGCACACTCATGCTGACCAATTGCAAAGGCCTCACCCAGCAGACCTGTCCACAAGCCTCCTCTCTGAGCTCCCAGACCACCTGGCTCTGTCTGCCCTGCTACACGGGCCCTTGTATTTAATGCAGCCAACATGGAATCTGCCCTGTTCGGTGCTTCCCGTTCCTATCCAACGCATCCGTGCCTCCGCCCCAACAACCTGCTCCCACCTCAGGGGTTGCCCCAGCAGAACCGTATCTGCCTCCCTAATTCTGACTGAGACCTGCGGGCTTCAGCACTCCTGAGCTCATGCCCCATCAGCACCACTTCTGTGGATACAGGGTGCACACTTGTTTTTTAAGATTTTATTTATTTATTTATTTTTTTAAGTAATCTCCACACCAACAGGGGGCTCACGATCAAGTGTCGCATGCTCCCACACGAGCCAGCCAGGCGCCCCGGGTACGCACTCTGTTGCTAGGGTGATGCTCTCAGATTCAGTTTACTTATCTGCAGTCTTTCAGCTAAAATAACCCACCTCGAGCGTCTAGTCCAAATCTCACATTGTACACATCAGGAAAACCAGGCATAGACACACAGTGTGCTTGCAAGGTCCCCAAATTACTAAGAAATCGGCAGCTGATTAAAGAGCAAAATTGATGACATTCATACACAGGAGAAACATATACAGACTAAAGCCAACATATTTTGAAGAATAAGCTTTTTTCTGTCCTACATCCAACATGATGGAGTACTACACAGCTGCGCAGAAAGGAGTGAGGAGGAGCCCTGTATGCTCCAGTGTGGGCCTCGTGACCTGCTGCTTCTGCTCAGGAAACAACATGGAGGAAAGCTGTACCGCAGGCTACCGATCTCTAAGAAAGAGTTCTGTGTGCACACACATACTTACACTAAAAATCGTTATGTGACCTACAGAGAAAAGAAGAAACAGGGTATAAGGATTAGGAATGGAAGCCTGACTTCTGTAAATATCTAAATTAATTATTAAATTAAAATATTTCATTTTGATTTGGAAAAATGAAAATGTTTTATAACTTACAACAAAATTTTAAAAGAAGCTATTCCTTCAACTTGAAATAAAACACGACTATGACTGTCTCAACAAACTGCCGGCACGCGAAGGGCGGGTTTGGCGACTTTAAAATGTAATTTGGCAAATCAGGTACACATCTCTAGGTATACAGACGCTAAGGACATAAAAAAAACAAAACTACAGAAAACCAAACTGTTTTCAGGAATCATACTATTGGTAATACATTGGTACTGTTATTCTAAAACTATCACATAGATTTTATAGGATAAAACAAGTAATGATGCTAATGCTGTTAGGAACCAAGGTTTTCAGCATTAGAGAAAAGATACATCAATATAAACACAAAGAAGTAAAAACCAAATAATACTAAATTTGAAATAAACATCAGCATGAACTCATGTTATTTTCACTTAAAAAGCACATTTGCCAGGCTGTCCTTCCAAAAGACCTGGAAACAATAACCAGCCCTGTAGCAGGGAGTGTCCCCAGCACCCAGAGTGTGGTCTCAAGATAAGATTTTCTACAAAAGGGAACCAGAGCTGTTCAGAGAAAGAGGCAATGCCAGGTGTGAGGCAAAAAGGTTTAGCGGGAATCTGGAACTCGTTACCGCAGCAGAGAAAGCAAGGGAAGGAAGAGTGTGGGGCCCACGAAAGGACAGAGGGGCCCACTCAGCGCCACTGGCCAAGGTGGCTCAACGCGAGCATCTGTGAGAATCCTAACTGCAAAGTATTTAAACAGAGCCCAGAAGTCTACGTTCCTGACTTTGGCAAGCTACTTCAAACAGTCAAGGGTCACTCTGGGAGCGGCCGCAGAACCATCTCATTGTCTGGACACCTGATAAAGAGAAAGAACGGCACTGACCCTCCCGTTTTTATTTGAACTGTCCCTTAGGGTAACCAAATACTTACAGACGGTAAGTTTCTATCTACTCAAATATTTCAGCTACTCAAGGCCAAGCGAATGACCAAGCACGAACAGCGTCATTTCATGACCTCCGGGGACTGCAGCCAGGCACTGAGCAGCACTGGCCCCGAGCCACGAAGACACGCTGAGGGCTCCACTGAAGGACATGCGGTCCCAGGCTGGGGCAGGCCACAGCCACGGATCCACCTGCCACATCACAGGAGATGCAGAGGACAGAAGACCATGCTCAGTGGAGAGGGCAAAAGTCAACACGGGGAAACCTTGGCCTACGAACACGCAACCGATAAAACGCTCGAAGAAAAGGGACGGGGAGGGGCCGTCAGGGGATAGAAGAGACCCAAGGGGCACATGGCTTGCTGCCATCACTGCTTGAACCCCGCTCCACACAAACTAAAAAATGCAGACAGCAGCGCAAAACTGAGTGGTCCTGTGGTTATGAGTGATTTTTTAAATAGTTTTCTTTATACTTAGAATTTATCAGAAATAGTTATATACAGGGGCGCCTGGCTGGCTCAGTAGGTTAAAGCCTCACCCTTCGGCTCAGGTCATGATCCCAGGGTTCTGGGGTCAAGCCCCGTGTCAGGCTCTCTGCTCAGCAGGGAGCCTGCCTCCCCCCATCTCTCTGCCTGCTTCTCTGCCTATTTGTGATCTCTGTCAAATAAAATTAAAAAAAAAAAGCTATATATTAAAACTCACTTTGGATGCAACTATTTCAAACCCATTTTATATTCATTTTACTGTTCTAACATAGTAAAGAGTTCTTAATTTCAAGCATAAAGTGCTACTCAATCACAAATTAGAGACCAAAACAGAGTACTCTGTTTCCTTTCAAACTCCTAGAGAACAAGGATTAGGGAGCAAACAGTTCAAGCATCAAAAGCTGCAATTCGGGGCGCCTGGGTGGCTCAGTGGGTTAAGCCTCAGCATTCGGCTCAAGGTCATGGTCTCAGGGTCCTGGGATCGAGCCCCACATCGGGCTCTCTGCTCAGCAGGGAGCCTGCTTCCCTCTCTCTCTCGGCCTATCTCTCTGCCTACTTGTGATCTCTCTCTCTGTCAAATAAAATTAGAAAAAAAAATTTTTTTTAAAGCTGCAATCTGAGCCGGGAAGGCCTCCCTGCCCTCGGTGAGCGTCCTGCTGCGGAGGGCAGGCCTATGAGGCAGAAACCCTTAGCCCTGCCCCGGGTTTCAAACACATTCATCGTTACTGGGCCATCAGGCGTAATGTTGATTATTCTCAAAGTGTAATGCCGGTTTAAAAAAATGAGAAATAAAAATAAGGTTAGACACACACCGAAATACGGTGCCATGTGCGCGGCAGTTGCTCAAATATGCCTGTCACAGAGGAAACTGCTAAAGCCAAACATGAGTAAGTTCAGGATGTTTCAATCACTTTATTTTTATGAAAAAGCAAACAAGTTTCAGCTGCAAAAAGAAATCTATACAAATTAAAATTTTCCAGTGACGTACCTGTGTGTCATATGCTGTGAGGAAGATACAGCAAAGCGCGTTCTGGGAGGAAGAGACTTCAGTAAGGAAAGAAGCAAAGCAGTGCCGATCTTACCCTTCTTTGAAGAGCGTGGTGGAGTCTCTTACCTGGGGAGTAATAGTAATACTTGGTCAACTCCATTGGGAACATTTTTAAATGTTTTAAAAATAGAATTTCAAAAATGTAAATTAAAAAAAATGATCAAGAAAGAAGTTTAGGTGCCTGGGTGGCTCAGTTGGTTGGGCGACTGCCTTCAGCTTGGGTCATGATCCCGGAACTCTGGAATCGAGTCCTGCATCGGGCTCCCGGCTCTATGGGGAGTCTGCTTCTCCCCTCTGACCTTCTCCTCTCATGCTCTCTCTCGCTTTCTCAAATAAAAATTTTTTAAAATCTTAAAAAAAAAAAAAGGAAAGAAGTTTAAAGAAAACTTTTTGGGGCTCCTGGGTGGCTCAGTGGGTTAAGCCTCTGCCTTTGGCTCAGGTCATGATCTCAGGATCCTGGGATCGAGCCCCGCATCGGGCTCTCTGCTCAGCAGGGAGCCTCCTTCCCCCCCTCTTTCTGCCTGCCTCTCTGCCTACTTGTGATCTCTCTCTGGCAAATAAATAAATAAAACCTTAAAAAAAAAAACCCCAAAACAGAAAAGAAACCATTTAACCACTCTATAGAAACATGTGTTTTGGATTTTCCACATTACAATTTATGTGGACACAAATTACAAAGTCTGGATATCTTCAGACTATTTTAATTTTAAAATAACTTTATCATGAAGTATTGCACACACAGATACAAAGCATGGTCAACACCTATGTTCGGTACACAAACACTAGTCCAACAACCATCCAGGCCAAGGAAGGAACACACACTGCTGAAACCCCGAAATGGCAGGGTGCCTCTCTCTGACCCCAACCCCCCACCCCCACCCCTGCCTTCCACCATGAGCAGCAACTACACTAACCTTTACGGTTATCGCTTTCTTATTTTCCTTTAGATGCAGCATCTAGGCACGCCACACCGATACAGAATATTTTTGCCAAAATTTGTAATTTATATACACAGAATTATATTGTATGTACTTTTTCTTTCTTTTTTTTTTTCCCATTCCACCTCTGGGGCTGTACCTGGTATTTATTTTCATTGCCGCGTAGCATGCCATTGTGTAAAAATACACTAATTTACTTATCCATTCCCCTGTCCCCTGGGTAGTTTCTGCCTTGGAGCAAAGACACTACGAAGAGATCTTCATGGCGCAGCCATCTTAAGCACAGTGAGCATGTATTTCTCTGGTGTACAGACCTAGAAATGGGATACACCTTTGCTACACAAAGCCAAACTATTTCCCAAAGCAGTTGTAACAATTTATACCCCCACCAGAAGTGTATGAGAGTGTTTCTGGTGCTCAACTACTTCAACAAGACTTGTCCAGTTTTTTAATTCTTGCTAACTGAATGGCTGTATAGTGGTACCCTAAGAATTCTTCCTTACATTGAATTTTAAAATTATTTTGAATAGGGGTGCCCGGGTGGCTCAGTCCATTAAGTGTCTGATTCTTGATTTTGGTTCAAGTTATAATCATATAATTGAGCTCTGCTTTGGGCTGTGTGCAGGGTGTGTGGCCTGCTCAAGATTCTCGCTATCCCTCCCCCTGCCCTTCCCCTTCTCTTTCTTTAGCTCTTAAAAAAAAAATTTTTTTTAACATTTACATTTCTTACATTTGTAAAAATTTTACATCTGACAATTGCTGCAATGCAATTTTTTTTTTTTTTTTTTTTTTTAAGTAGGCTCCAAGGCCAGCGTGGAGCCCAACATAGGGCTGGGACTCAGGGCCCTGAATCAACACCAGAGCTGAGGTCAAGAGTCAGACACCCCTGCCACAGTGTACATTTAATTTTGCAACAAGCTCCTTCCTGTTCATTTCTCCAGCAGTTATTGGGCTACCACTTCTCATCAGGCTTACTGAACTCCCTCATCTCAGTCCACCAGCTTCCAGAGACACTGACTCCGACCCCCAGGCACAGGCAGACATGTGCCGGTCAGGCCTGGCCAGTGCGAGCCTCCTTCCTTACACCCTGGCCAGAGCTGGTTTCTGTGAACACACAGAGTCAAATTAATGAAGTCTTTCCTTCCTCCTCTGGGACTACAAGATTCTCTTTCCCAAAGAACTCAATCATTGTGGAAAGCCATATGCCAACTAGGACTACCTATCCTGGACTTTGTGTGAGCAAGAAAAGAACCTGTTTATGATAAGCTATTTATTTTGTCACAGGACCTAGAGTGGCCCACTGTGAAACGATACTCTGATCCTGCTTTTTGCCTTAAAATATATTTTGTCTAATACTACACATTCTTGTTCTCGGTGTTTGCATAGTTTATTTTTGTCATCATTTTACTTTCAACATTTCTGAATTCCTTTAGATGAATCTCTTGTAAACAGTATATAGTTGGATTTTTTTTTTAAATACTAAAAAAAAATCTTGGTATCTTTGCCTTTAAATGGAAATTTACTCTATTTACCCTGGAAGCCATCCCGCATATGTAGATTTCGTTCTGCTATTTTACCAGGGGCTATCTGCCTTCTTTAGGAATGTTATCCTAACCCCCCCTTCTCTGTAATCTAGAAGCTACGGTTCTGTTTTTACTCTTTTAATGATTACTTTAGAAATTACAATGTGCGGCGGCTTCTCACAGGCCTATCTTTACCCTTCTCCCAGACAGCTAGGACTTTAAAGTGTTAACTCCATTCATTGTATTTCCAGCCTATGTCCCACCACTGTGTGTTTACACATGCGCACGTACTTTTGTCACCATTAACATTTTACATAACATTCAATCATTTAGGTTAGAGAGAGAATCCCTTCCCTCCTCCAACTGACGTATCACTCCAAGTGCCATGTGGCTCTCAGGGCCGGTGTCAGGAAACCGGCTGCTGTTCCTCTGTGTAACCATGTGCTTCACAGCCCTGTGTTTGCGTGTGGATTTCTTTTTACTCAGGGTATCTTGTCAGTCATTTGTTGAACGCCTTACCATTGTGGTTTGCCGCCTTTCAACTTTCTGGAGAGATTTCAGCCATTATCTTTTCAAGCACTGCTTCTGCCCTGGCCCTCACCTCTCCTTATAGAGCCAATTATATGAGCTTCAGTCCCTACTTCCTGTGTCTCCTGCCTTCCCTTTGTGCTTCCCGCATTTCCATCTCTGTGCTTCTCATTTTTCTGGGTTTGATCTAGTGGGTTTGATCTAGCTGGTGGATTACAGGGATTGATTTTCCAGTGTTAAACCAATTTTTCATTCCTGAGATAAACCTCACTTGATCATTACGTAATATCCTTTTTATATGTTTCTATATGGATTCTATCTGCTACCATGTATGGAAGATGTGTGTAGGACAAATGCACTTGGTGGTTTTGCTTTATTGTTACATTTTTGTCTTGTCTTCCTTTGAGTCCAGCGCTGGCTCACAGAATGAGATAGGAAAAATTCCCTCCTCTTCCATTTTCAGAACCCTGAGATCATGAATGGAGCCAAAGGCAGATATTTAACTAACTGAGCCACTCAGGCGCCCCAAAGGATTTTCATTACCAATTCAATTTCTTTAGTAAATATAGAATAATGAAAGTTACATATTTCTTCTTGAGTTAGCTTTGATGGTTTGTGTTTTTCAAGGAATGTTTTCGTTTTATTTAAGTTGTCAAATTTAGGGGCGCCTGGGTAACTCAGTCCTATAAGTGTCTGCTTTCAGCTCAGGTCATGATCCCAGGGTATTGGGATCAAGCCCCACATTGGGCTCCTTGCTTGGCGGGAAGCCTGCTCTTCCCTCTCCCGCTCTCCCTGCTCGTGTTCCCTCTCTTACTGTGTCTCTGTCCAAAAAAAAAAAAAAGTCAAATTTATTGGTATAAAATTATTCACACAATTTTACTCTTACTACCCTTTCAGTGTCTTTAGGGTCTGTAGTGGTACCCTTTTCTACATCCCTGATTTTGGCATTAATGTTTCCTTCTTCTCCCAACCATGACAGATTTTTATGGATATGACAGTGATCTTTAACTTATCATAGTTTACCTGCAAATACTATTATGCTACTTTAAGTACAGGGATAACATATTTCCATTTCTCTCCTACCATCCTTTGTGCTACTGTTTTCATTTATTTACCTCTACAAGTATTACAAGGCCCATCATATATTGTTACTTTTGCCTTTTTTTTTTTTAAGATTTTATTTTATTATTTATTTGACAGACAGAGATCACAAGTAGGCAGAGAGGCAGGCAGAGAGAGGGGGAAGCAGGCTCCCCGCTGAGCAGAGAGCCCGATGTGGGGCTTGATCCCAGGACCCTGAGATCATGACCTGAGCTGAAGGCAGAGGCTTAACCCACAGAGCCACCCAGGTGCCCCAACAGCCTTAAAAAAAAAAAAAAAAAAAAAAAGATATTTATTTATTCGTTTGACAGAGAGACACTGAGAGAGGGAACACAAGCAGGGGGAGTGGGAGAGGGAGAAGCAGGCTTCCTGCTGAGCATGGAGCCTGATGCAGGGCTCTATCCAAGGACACTGGGATCACTCCCTGAGCGGAAGGCAGACACTTAACAACTGAGCCACCCAGGCGCCCCTAAATAGCCAATTTAAAAAAAAAAAAGGGCAATTAAAAGTGAGAATATTTATCCATCTATTGACCATTTCAGGTTATTATTTTTACTCCTCTGTGTAAAAATTTCCATCTGGTGGGCGCCTAGGTGGCTCAGTGAGTTAAAGCCTCCGGCTGAGGTCATAATCTCAGGGTCCTGGGATAGAGCCCTGCATTGGGCTCTCTCCTCAGCGTGGAGCCTGCTTCCTTCTCTCTCTCTCTCTCTGCCTGCCTCTCTGCCTACTTGTGATCTCTGTCAAATAAATAAATAAAATCTTAAAAAAAAAAATTCCCATCTGATATAATTTCCTGTAACTAAACTTCCTTTAAAAATTTCACATAGTGCAGGTCTGCTGGCAATAAATTCTGTCAGCTTTTCTTGGCCTAGAAATTGTGATTTCACTTTTATTTCTGAAAGATATTTTCTCTGGGTACAAAATTCTAAACTAACAGATTTTTCTTTCGGTGCTTTAAACATGTCACTGTGTTGTCTTCTGGCTAGCA